CAACGCCTGCTCTTCGGTCTCAGCCTGCAGCAGCTCCGCGAAGGTTTTGATGGAGTCCAAGTTGGGTCTTGTATCAATTTGCAACTGTTGCCTGCACACCGACAACCGGTATGCAGCTTGCGCACCAGACTTGGCAATGCGTCCGAAGCCCGAGTCAAAACACCTGCCAAGATGACAGGGTCTGGCAACATCACCGCCAGCTCTTGAGCCCGATTCCACCATCTCCGCCATTGACGCAGGTTCTGCGCCAATTCAACCATAGAGCCCGTAGTTTTGAGCTCCGTCAAAAACCGGATGAGAGTGACCCTCCCACCTTGTCCGCCAGGTTGAAACTTGACGAACAGCGTGAACAACAAATGGGTCACGCTCAGCTTCCTCGCAGCCACAGCCTCCGCCTTGATGTTGTCGGGGACCGCCTGCAACAACAAACTGGTCATCCTCCTTTCGGTCCTAGGCCACCTTGTAGCCGCCGATGAAGTGCCAGTGTCCAACCGAAGACGTTGAAGAGGATCCGAAGCCAACCATTGGGTATACAGCTCATCAACACCCTTCAATGTCACAGCCCACCATTCCTCCGCCGACACACTCACGTCCGCGATCAAAGGCTGGATCGTGGCTAACCAATCACCGAAGGACAGTGCATTGGCGTCCGAAGGAAGTGTGGGTAGTTCCACACTACGAAAGGTCTCATTGACCGATTCCTCACTGCCACCATACATAGGCACCACCAACCAGGCCAGGTCCATAGTTTCCGCCACCTCCACCACCATTGGGCGGTAGCCCGATAGCGCCCCATCCACCTGGTCCAAGCTGAATTCCAGGGGGATATGGCCAAGGGAAACATACTCCAGGTCCAGGGTCCAGGAAGATTGCCTCCAGGAACAGGAGCACCGCCACTTGTTGTCATAGTTGAGGATGAAGCCACCTGTGTTCCCGTTCCCGAAGGCTGCCGTGGTCCCCCGGTTTCCGGCACCTGTTGCTTCCCATCCCCTTGCGTTGCGCCTCCAGTCTCCGCGGCCGTCTTGAACGAAGCATCGGAAGGCGGATTGCCTCCTCCCAGCAGCTGTCGAACACCTTCAGCAAAACGCTGTTCGGCATCACGAAGAACTCGTTGGCGTAGAAGTTCAACGGTTTCTCCCGCCTCTTGGCTTTGGCTCGGTGGGAGATTCATGGTCTCCTTGATCACTTCCGCTGACCAAGGATTGATAGGCGACTGTTGCCTCGACATAGCACCCGCAGTCACCACAGCTCGTCCAGGTAGTTCGCCACCTTGTTCATGTCCACGGCCAGGTCGAAGAGCTTGTTCAGGCTGAGGTCCCCCACGTTGGCGTTCTCGATCACCAGGAGATAGCTCCAGCGTTCTGACTGGAGTTTCCTCCACCAACGCTCCTCCCTCACGTTCGCGACGTCCTGGAAGGATGGGCATCTGCCCGGAAGCATCCAACTGTCCTCCAGGATGGAAGACCACAGGATATCCTTGAGGATATGGTCCCTGGAGCATTGGCCACCCAGGGATCTGCTCTCGCACTTGCGCTTGAGCCACATCCACCATCCCATGTTGTCCACCACCAAGAAGAGCTCCGCCAGGTAGAGGAGGAAGTAGTCCGGCCAGCATGGTGCCCGGTGGCGGGTCCAGCGAGAGCTGGCCACCATCAGTTCCTGCGGCTCGAGGCTCTGTCCTCGCCCCCATTGGCTGCTTGTCCACCAAGGCTTGCTTCGTGCTCTTCACCAGCGCTGGTCTTCTCGAGCTGGGTTCCGCGCTTTGCGTCCTCCGAGCCGGCGTCTGCTCCGCAATGAGCTGGTCTAGTCGCTCATCTGCCGTCATCTGCCGCTCCTTTGACGAAGATCTCCGCCGTGACAACAGGGAAGTCATGGCGGCACCGCTTTGGGCTCATAACCCATGCTTCACGAAAAGCGGTCCTGTTTTCTTGAGCCAAACACGCAGGCAGTTAAGCCTGTGGTCTTGTGTACCTAGTTGTACACTTCTCGTTTTGTGCGTTCTGTTTCAAGATCCGCAGGTTTAATTGGGCGTCGCAGCTCAAGGTGAAGGTCTTATCATCCAACTTTGTGGGGTTGTCAGGGCTGAGCCTGCACTTTCATTCACCTTTGTGGCGCTGGCACAGCTAAGCCAAGGTGGGCCTTATCATCCTCCTCTGCGGCGTTGTCACGGCTAAGCGAAGGTGGGCCTTATCATCCACCTTTGTGGCACTGTCAATGTCAATGCAAAGAAGATAGTAGTTGTGGTAACCAGGCATAATGGCAGCTATTGAAACTGCGGGAGGGGGGGCGCGGGGGAATGCAAATCAAGTATAGACAGCGGTATCACCAGCGAGCTAGCACCCCCACTGGGAAGCTATATATCTCTCTAGTAGGGAGCTACCAAGACTGAAGGACCATAAGACCAGCGGACTAGGAGACCAAGGGACTATAGGAGACCAAGGGACTACAGGAGACCAAGGGACTATAGGAGACCAAGGGAGTATAGGAGAGCAAGGGACTATAGGAGACCAAGGACTAGGTCTAGGTGCCCACTCGACCAAGCGGGGGACCAGCGGAGTAGGAGGGCAAGAGACCAGCGGACCAGGAGACCGAAGGACCACGGGACCAGCGGACCAGAGGACCAAAGGACCAGCGGACCAAAGGACCAGAGTACCAGGGGACCAAAGGACCAGAGGCCCAGGGGACCCAAGGACCAGGGGACCTAGTCAGGATTATTCTTTTTTGATGCTGTTCTTGCTTTATTGATCAAGTTATTTTTTATGGTTGATCCTGTTCTTTTCTTTTTGATCCTGATGCCGCTGTGGGCGAGATCACATGAAGCGGCTGGTAATTGCATGATTGGATAGGTTTATGTTTCGCGTTGTGACTGTGCTCAGCTTGGTTGGCCTGGCTTTCTACCTACCCATATGCCTGCGGGTAGCATACCTGCCTATCTTCCTTCCCTCCTTCCCCTCCCCTGCTTTGCCTTCCTTATAAATTCACCCGCCTGTGTGCGGAAAATATTCTACAAGAAACGGCTTTCACCATGTGATCCATGTGGCTTCAGGAACTTCTGACAGGGTGTCTAGCTGGAGTCTTCGGTTCTTGCCTACCTTGTCAAGAAAAACAGGGAGAGGGTTGGCTTCTTGCTGCTTCAAAAAGTTGACGCATGGCGCGCCTCCAGGCCCAAGCTCCTTATTTCATGGCCCAACCTTGGAATATAGTTCAAGCCAAGAAGCACGCTCAATCCAATGTCAATGCAAAAAGGCCAGCTGAAGTCTGCGGATGCCTTTTCGGGAAGAAATAGCGGACTCCTGGACTACGTTGACTACGGCCAATCACTTCAAAGAAAACTTGGTGGCGCAATGTCACTGGGGGGCATGCCGTGAAACATCGCAAGTCATCAAGTTAGGGCTTTGAAGTGCTGGGGCCGACGATCTGCCACTCAACAACAACAACAACAACAACAACAGCAGCAGCAGCAGCAGCAGCAGCAACAACAACAACAACAACCAAAACCCCAATCCAGGTTGGGTGTTGTCGCACTATTCGCGACGGAGGCGTGCTATGTACATGGGTCCAAATGGGGTCCGATCAGGAAGGATCAAGACCTCAATTGCACATGTTTCAAAATCATCAATGCCGAAACTGAAACTGAACCCTCCATCGCCTTCCGCAAGACCTGAGGTTTGGACGCCAAAGTTTGTTTGATCACCTTTCCCTGTGAGGTCTTGAACCGCTTCAGGCAGAAAGCCCCCCTTCTTGAGGAATTTCTGCACAACGCCTGGGCTTGCTGCAGGCATTGCGGTACACTAACAAGAGCCCCCAGCATGTCCTGCAAAATGCCACGGCGCCCAGAGCCCGTCACAGGGTTAAGATTCAGACCATCGTTCTCAGTCTCGGAAAGTGCACAGGTGACATACAACAGGATACCACGAGGCTTCACCAGCGCTGATGCACAGCGCAAAAGCTCCTGACAAGTTGGACTGCTTTGAAGTTGATCTTGTGCATAGATCTTTTGAAATGTAGCCAGCCTTTGGTTTTGGCATGTGTGGGCGAGGGGCGGTCTAGGATATGAGATGAGATTCGCGCATGTTGGGGGACACTCGTGCTACTACATTGATTCTTCATGGTTTGCCGTTCCAACCACAGCTGCTAATGTTTTGAGCACGTCGCTGTCTGCAGTGCTCTAGCGTCTTCCAGAGTTTGCCTGTGGATAGCTCATGGAATCATGGAATGATTCCGCAATCAATGCAACAACTGTTGCCAAAAAGGGTTTCCGGTCTCCAGCTGTCTTTCTGCATTGGCTTTCACCGCTCCAGCTGCCCAGTGGGCCAAGGCAGTGCCCTGATGAACTAAATGCCGATCCTGAAGCATGTCAAAACCATCATCAACACAACACGGGCTGCTAATTCATATGGCCTCACCACGCGGCCCAGCCACTGAAGTGCAAGGAGCATCAATTAAAATATAGTCAAACGGAGCTAGACGTTGGAGTTGCAGAGGGCACACAATTGAAGCCGCATCAACATTTGTGATTGTGACCCGGCCGGTGGCTCCTGACAGGCAATTGCTCGCCAAACCAAATCGTGTCATTCTGAGGCCGAATGCCTTCAAAAATTTGACGAAATATGCTTGCCTGAACTGAGCATCTCAGCAGGAAGGAATGATGACAAAACCCTGTGCAATCTCTGCAATCGCGGCCGGGACATCTCATTGCAAACCAGCCGGCCAGGATCGTGCGTTTGCAAAGGTTGGTCACCTCAGTCTCCGGGCGGCAGGCACAATGCCTGAATGATACCCTTCATTCCACCAGAGCTTCATCACCAAGCTAAACCTCCATTCAGAAGCCATCTCCTACTGGTTGTCCGGTCGCAGTTTGTCCTTCTTTTGTCCTCTTGGTGTGTTCATGTTCGTCTTTTCGCCCCTCATCCTTCTTGTCCTCTGTTGTCCTCCTCGTGTCCTCGTCTCGTCTTTCTGTTGTCCTGCTACTGTCGTGCTGTTTACGTTGCTTTCTGAGGCAGGGGCTGGGGCTGTGGCCACCCACCACAACAAAAACAATTCTTGCCGGGGGTCTATGCTGGTAGAACCTTTGTTTCCCGTCCTCACGAGTCAATCTTTATAAATCCTTTCCTTGCACTTCAATCGTGCGTATACAGTATCGTTTTCAAGTGCCCTCTTTCGTTTGGAATGCTGCCTCTCGTTCCAGGGCCACTCTGCCACTCTTTCGTTTAAAACCTTTTCGTGTGCAGTTCTTCCCTTGGCTTTCAGCCCTCCATTGCAAAGCAACCCTTTCCTTACACTTCAATCGAACGGCTCTCGTTTTGCAACGCTAATTATCTTGGAAAACGTGTTTTTCTGAAATACTTTCTCTCGGTGCAGGACCTTTCTGCCAATCAAAAGCTATTTATGTTGCTTTTAGTTTCCCCATTTGTTTCAAAACCATCCTCACGATTCAATCCTTTCCTTGAGCTTATTCAATCCGTTCCTTGTGTTTCAATCACCGTTTTCAAGTGCGTTTAAAAACCATTCTTTCGCATTCAGTTCTTCAATTTGCTTCAAACTATTCAATCATCTCCTTGCGCTTCAATCGCACGTGTTTCGCGTTGAATTGCTAGCTGTTTTCTGCGCCACTGCCCCTTGGTTCAGAACTTTTCTTCCGTTGAAAGAACACCTCGCGTGCACTCAATGTCCCCACTGTTTCAAAAAGCGCTTGGAATCCTGCTTCTTGCGACGGAACCTCTTCCAGCTTTGCAATGCCGCTGGCTTACACGCTTAGGCGCTTGGAGGCTTAGTCCGCTGGCTTCGGAACTCTGAGACTTCGTGGCGGATCTTTGGCGCCTAGGCGCTTAGAGGCTGGTGGTGATTTATCCCAACCCCTCTGGCTACTGCAATGGAAAATGGAGTTGTGACAGGCACAGCACTTTGGACCAGCACGTGCTCTATGACCTTCGCCCAATGAGAAGGCGGGTCACCGGCAAACATTGTGGAAGCCAGCATCAAGGACTTGCCACCAGGTGCGGCGCATAGATCAAGGACTGATGATCCTGGCTCGACATTCATGGCTGCAGCAGCTACTGCGGACGCACCATCCAAATAATAGCCTCATTTGACAAAGCACATGCATGGAATTCAAAAGGTCAGAAGTGCGACAAATGCCTGCAAACCAACGCTCAAAGGAAAAGCAAAAGAACAAGCAGGAACAAACACAGTCCGTGCTCTGGCACCCTTTCGGCACAGTAGCAGGGAAGCATCTCGCTATCCATGTTGTCTGGTTGGGGTAACACGCCTTCGCCATCCTGGACACATGCCGCATGTTTGATACACTTGACAAGCTCCATGAACTTGAAGGAAGAAGTCGGGTTGCACAGTGTCCTCCTCCCCGCCGATAAGCTCATTAGGCGTGAAAACATTTGGGATGGTGTCATGCGGCTGCAAGGCATGCAGTTTACAGAATTCCTGGAATCGAAAAAGCTCCGCCAGTCAACACGAGACTTGAAGCACAGTCAGGCAAAGCTCAAACCAATTCCCAAAGCTTAGTCCAGATCCTCCCTGCGCGCAGCTGACAAGAAGGGGTTCACAAGCACGACGTGGTTGACTGGCTGGCGTAAAGCAGTCCGCAAATGTAGCCAGCGCTCCTGGCACACAGGTCAGATCAACAGAACAAACATGGGACACAAATCCAATCCACAAGTTGTGTTTTCCTACTTACTTCAGTCCCGGTACATGTGTGCTGCATAAACGTCCTTGCCGAAAGCTTTGCAATGCACAGCTTGCCACCCAGACTCGCCCCGCAGCGCCATGTCAATAGCATCGTGAGTGGGATAAAAGACTAGGGGTGCTTTGGGTGTATTTTGTTCAGTCAGCGCGCTTCTGACTCTGCTTATGTCAATTTTGCACTGTACACTTAGACACTTGCTTGCGCACTTGACTGGTGGGATTTTTAAGATGGCTTGAGGCCAGATACTGCTCGGCTTGACACTGCTCAGCTTAAGCCTTCTGTGTTGACAACCCTGCACGAAGTGCAAAAAAACACCACATGGCGCAAAACTCTCCAAGAGCGGGTGGAAGCAGGCTGCCCCATACCAGTAAAGCCATGTCATCATAGTCCTACAAAAAGCCATGCGGACTGAGTGCCCAGCCTGTGTGACACTGTCTCGCCTTGTCTGCACTATCACCGCCTCTTTTTCGAACATCGCCGCTTTTAGGCAATCTTTGAGGAGCAATGCTTGCACCAAGGGTTCAGGAGCTTGCCATTTCAGGAACACAAAGGTAACGACAAATAGCTTGCCTGGTCAAACACCTGCGAAGTATAACCAAGTCCTGCCAAGTAAAGCTTCACACCGTGAAAACTCGTCATTTTCGGTGCAACTTCAGCTTTTCTAGCCCAACGTCCAACGTCGTGAAGCGACGCCAGGTCCTGATCTTGTTGGATTAAGCAGCGAAGTCAGCAGGGTCGGACCTTGGCCGAACTGAAACGCATGGCTCCTATGCAAAGCGCAACTTCATTCTGTGTGTCTCACAACTTGACAACTTGCCTGCGTGGCTGGCTTGCTGGGCTGAGGCGCAATCATGCAAGGACTAATGACTATTGTGTGCCAAGCCACCATGCGGGCAGCTCAAAGTCAAGGAAGAGCAAGCACACTACATAGTGTATATATAGGACCGTCGTTTGCTCAAAAGCTCTTTCACGGCAAAGTTCCCATGGGTTGGCCATGCATAACACTGAAAGGCCAAAAGCCCGGTCCGAATGGAGCCAAAAAGGGCAATGGGACAGGAATCACATAAGTCAATCAAACAAAACAATTCAACAATCAAGCAACTTCAAAGCTCTCGAACGTAATACCCACAGCTGATCAGAACGAAGACACCAAAAGCTGGATGCTGCAGGCAAACGGCTCGATGCAGGCACCGACGCAATGCCTGTGATTCCAACTTGAGCACCTCGTCGCTCACAATGATTGAACACCAACAGCCATTTGACACGTTGTTTTTTTTTCCATCTGTTCATCCGAAAGAAATTACATTGACTCCACATCACACGCAACACCTGAGTTCAAAGCCTCATGCTCTGCTCGAAGCGCGCGCAATTGCCTGGCAATTTGTCAGAATCAAATGCCAACCGGAACCTTGCGCCCAGCTATCTACTTAGCTGCGATGCAACCACAACCATGCCAAATTTACCCTTCTAAAGCACAAGAACTGGTGATGAGTTGCGCCTTCAAACACAATGTCCGCAAGGGTTTATGTTGTTGCTACAATCATTGATGCTGCCATGAAACTCGGCTCCCTGCCCACATGTTTTCTTGCTCTTTTGCAAATGACAACCTGAAACAATCATGCAATTTATATACAGTAATGGTACAACGATGAGTAAACCACTATTGCCTTGCCTCCCAGCTCCCCACACCCCTTAACTGGGACAACAACAGCCGCATCAATGGTTTCTGCCCTGCAGGTGCAGCTGGGCTCACGGATCCTGGACCAAATCAAGCATTGAACAAACAAACAGTTGAAAGGACCACCACAGCTCACGAATTACATTACTGTACATTGTCGCAAAAGTTGCCAAGTGTTCAAGTGTTTTTGCGCGTTGTGATTTATAGGTAGGGTATGTGTATATAGGGGCGCCGTTCTTGTTTGGCCCCTCCGCGCTGCAAACTGTTTACAGTTGTTCTACACCGCCTGGTGCCCACACAAGTGGTGTTCCGAAAGGTCCGCCCGACGTTGATAACAAAACACGGCGAATCGTGAAACAGCATTGCCCTTCTTTCTTGTTGACTGCCGATCAATAGTTGGATTGGATGCGTTTCCTTCCAGCCAACTGAAGATTGCCCGAGGCCCTGGCGTGGTCTATTTTGCTGACCCTGGTTCCGCCCCCACGGTTCGCGCCATGAATCCACACCTCATATGCTGCAGTTAGCACTGCGAAGCAGCAGGGGCTGAGAACACACAACGTTGGAATTCAGAGCATGACGGGCACCAACCATGGTAATGCCCTTTTGGAGCGGCCCGGGAATAACAAAAGCACACCAAAATGGCTGAAACAAACAACCAAATCAAAGCATCGTTCATCACCGAATGACCGGAGGTGGCGACCAAAAAACCGCACGGTAAGAACTTGAGATATGAGGGGGTGAATGAAAGGTAGGGATCGCAAGAATTTTTTTGACTCTTTCTTAACTCATTGGCAGCATATCACCCCTTGAAAACCTAAGAAGGATTTTGCAAAGTATACTATGGCAAGCAAAAAAGTTGCTGCCTTCAATGACTATCGGCCTCCCTTCATTCTGCAAGCAGGGAGCCGGCACACACATATTGCTTACTGTCCACCACGTTGCAGGACTTGTTGAAGTTGAAATTCGCAAGGTGTTTGCAGGGTTTCTCTTCTCCTACTGCTTGTTCCCTGCGTGTTTGCGCTGCTCGTTGCTGCCTGTTTTGCTCTTTATTTGCTGTTGCTCTGCACAAAACAAGGTGTGCACCCAAACCGCACCAAGATTTGCACCCAAACCGCGATGGCGCAGAATATTGCACAATCCCAACTCCAGATTGTAATGAACTTTTGCGAAAGCAGTGAAAATTCAGGTAGTTGAAGCTACTTTTCGCGAGTTCATACAGCCACCGAACCAACATGAACAGCACTGGCGACTATTGGCCCGAGAGCCTGCATCACATAAAGCAGCAATCCAGTTCATTCGGCTGACTGGTTGGAAGCCCTCTTGGCCTTGCATGTGTGTGTGTTACCCTCCGTATCGAGGAGTTTTGTACCTTTTGAACATTATACGCAGGGGGCCATCCCCCTCACCAGTGGTGGATGGCCACCGAAAAGGCCACTGGTGAGGGCTGAAAACGTACCTGCGGAACTGTTGCACACGCTGTTCTCCTTTCGGCTTGCTTCTCATGGTGGTTCTCATGCTATTCCCCTAAACCTCCCCTATGCACGGCTGGAATTCGAGACCGCTAAGTATTCAGTAACTAAATTGCTGCAGATGCGCATGCAACACTCTTTGTTGAAACATCCACAACTGCACGGACTCATCGCCTTTCCGTTTCTCTCATTCATTTCTCTGTGGGTTATGGCATACTGAATGAACCAGTGACTAAGTGCGTATCGCTGTGTCTTCCCACTGGGTACACAGTGCGACCCTCTCGCAAGAGAGGCACTGAAGCCGTTCGTGAATCACGTTTTTCTGACTCGAAGTGCAACCATCGTGGATTCTGGTTTGGATTTTTGTTTCACCCATGAACCTTCTGATCGCACAGCGGCCGCGCATACGGTTACTTGTGCTGCCGAGCCTACGGTCAACATACACATGTACACACACATGGACATACACCCCCGCCCCCCGCCCCCGCTTTCTCTCTTGCGCTTTCTTCGTTTTTTTAGAATTTTCTTTCAGGCTCGTCAGGTGGTTCTTGAGGCTCGTTTCCCTTCCCCTCGGGTTTGGATCGTTTCTTTCTCTCCTGCCTGTTCGTTGTTCTTTCTAGTTCGGCCTTTCCGCTAGAGGCTTTGTAGGTTTGTAATGAGGTTCTTTTTTCTTTTAGTCAAGGGCTAAGTAGTCAAGTGCTAAGTAGTCACCTTTTTTCGCTACCCCTATCTTTCTCTCTTGCCCTTTTGGTTTTGTTCTTTCTGTCTTTCTTTCTTTTCTAAGGCTTGTTAAGTACCTAATCAGGTTCTGGCCGTAATTTGCCGCTCGTGCGGCAGTGCACTTCTCATGGCGGTTCTCAAGCTATTCCCCTAAACCTCCCCTACGCACGGCTGTAATTCGAGACCGCTAAGTATTCAGTAACTAAACTGCTGCAGATGCGCATGAAACACTCTTTGTTGAAACATCTACAACTGCACGGACTCATCGCCTTTCCGTTTCTCTCATTCATTTCTCTGTGGATTACGGCATACAGGGGGGTGCAAGCAGCCCATCCATTCTTGCACCAACGAAGACACTGGATGTGCGCTGGTGAAATTGATCCACTTTCTCCACGCTTTGCGTTGTTTCCATGGTGATTCTCCTGCTATTTCCCTAAACCTCCCCCGCAGCTGTGCCGCTGAGCCGCCGCCGCGTCCTGCAGTCACGCACAAACCTTTGTTCAGCAGATTCAACTGAGCGGGCCACTTCGCCTTACCGTTCCATCACCTTTTCCTCATGGATTATGAAATTGAATGAGCGTGTGACTAAGTGTGTCTCGCTGTGCTTTCCCACTTGGGTGCGCAGTGTGATCCCCTGCATGAATCACATATCGATTTAGCGGCCTTGAGTTCTTGGATTATGATATCGGATTGATTTTGTTTCACCCATGAACCAACTGATCGCAAAGCGGCCGCGCTAACGGTTTTCATGCTGCCAAGCTCACGGTTCAAGCCGTTTTTGCAAGCCTTTTCACTTTCGTATGCGAGTGCAGGGGTCTGACCCCGTAATTTGCCGTTCATTCGGCACTTTTGCTCGACAGATGTGCACGCCACTACACCTATCTTTCTCTCTTACCCTCTTCTGTTTGCTCTTTCTGTCTTTCTTTCTTCTTTGTTCTAATGCTTTTTAGGTGGCTGTAAAGTGGGGAACGCATGAGGCTAGCTATGTGGTAGCTGCTTCCCAGCGGATTGGTAAACATATGCGTAAACATATTCAGGCATCAAAAGGGCCAGAAGGGACGTTGTATGATTTTGTTGCGACAATCTCACAACCGCGTGTAGGGAGATTGGATGTAACGCACTGCAGTGGCCACCTTGCCACCTTTTGCCCTTGGAACTACGGCCCAACATTTCTCTCTTGAAGTGGTCCAAAGACATCATCCTTCGGTTGCGATCGGCGTCCTACACTTGCAATTGGTGCCCAGCAGACCGCCAGAGCCGGCGCCCCCGCCGATATATCACCTTTACAGGTCTGAACTTCAATTCGGTCTGAGGAGCGTGAAAGGTGATGTGGAACATGGACAGGGAACTTGGTTTCCTTACGGAACAACTGCTTTCCAGAAGGCGATTGAGACCATGATCTTTTGTGATGCTTTTCCAGTACTCAGGTTTTTTGACACCATAATTTGGCATTTACCTGCGCTGTGCCGCCGTGCTGCCCAGCCGCTGCGCGCTTACACAACCACCACAGCATCCACCCAGCGCCATAGATTTCAACTTTAATCACAGTCCGGCGCCATCCGCCACACCTCAGGCATCTACGCCAGCTTCCTTTCCTTTTCTGCAACCTCCCATCCCAGACACATGGCGCCCTACAGACACTCACTGAGTTTCACACATCATCGCCAACCACCAACTTTTCCAGCCACACACCGCAAACAAGCCTACAACTTTTTTTGCTTCCCCTTCCATACGCCAGGGTCTACACCCTCTACGCGCCTGGGCCTTTCACTGCGCAGCTGGCAACCGCACCAAGCATCCTCCCTCCACAATGATGATTTCCGCTTCTGACAATGAAGCTATCGTTCACTGAAAGCATTTCATGAGAAGCATCATCCGATGCACCTTTCGGGTCAAATAGGGCCCTTGAGTCGGTACAGGCACGACGTCCGCAGGTTCGCCCGCGCCAAAAGATCCAGGTCCGTTCATTGAACGTGTCTTTCGAGTTGCCACTTGGACTTCGTGAGCTTTGTGGTTTGGTTGTTCTACTTGAGCTACCACGAGATTGGTAGCGGAGCCGGCGACGCTCCTCTCTCCCGGCTTTGACGGCACGACTATTGTCATTGACCCCTCCTTTTGCATCTTCTAAGAAGATAAGCATACGCTCACCTCAAAGATCGTGTTCGGCGAGGCAAATGTCTGATGAAAGAGGCACAGGAGGCAAGGGAGCTCAAAGAACCTCAAGAACCTCACCCCACTACACATGGTTTCCAGAAACCCTCTAAGGGTGATTCATAGAAACCAATAGACACATGAGGGAGGCAATTTCTGTTGTATGGCAAACATGTAGGAAAGGCAGGGCCTGCACACCACAAGCTTTTTGCCCTCCTGTGTACAATCTCCCACCAGAAATTATCTTTGGATCCGCATTCTCTATGTTCAATAGCCCGGTCTCTTCGCAAAAACTTTCCAGCACACAATAATGGCTGCTTCACCGTCCTGAAACGAACTCCTCTCTGATCTCAACCCTTCTGCCATCTGAACTCGTCACCGTGAGTCTGGCCTTCGTGATGCCTGCACAGGAAATTTTCCTCCCCCTGGGCATCAATCATCTTGACCTTTGTATTGGGGTTACACTCTCCCACATTGGCATACCCATGTGAGATGGGAAGCACTGAGATGTCAGCGCCTGAGTCCAACATGATGGACACAGTGCCATCTCCACTTGATCCTGTCTCTTGGATCATCTCGGGCCCACAGTCACCGAGCGCACGCAGATCAGGATCATCCGCGCGCACAACCAAGACCATCTGCGCACACAGATCTGGATCATCTGCGCACACAAATTTGGATCATCTGCACACACAGGGAGCACGGGTGGGGTGGGGTGGGGTGGGGTGGGGCTAATGACGTTCACTTCGGTTAGCACACGTCGCACACTCAAAGATAGCACACCGCTGCCCGGCAGATTCTGCAAGCTTGCACCGTCAAAATGCACTTTGAACAAGTCGAGTCAAAGCACCATACATACCAGCGAATTGGCCTGACACACATCTGAGCACCATGGATCAACACCCGGCCTTTGCACCTACCGTAAGAACCTAGAGTATGGCCACACTGTTTAAGCACCCCGCATACGGAAGCCGCGTGGACACACGATCCCCGCCTGCACAAACGATCCCCATCACCGCCTGCACAGACGATCCGAATTCCACGCGTACAGACGAACCCCCGTCCCTCTCCATGGCAGCGGTCCTCCGGGGAGATATTGGGCGCGTTGGTGCGAGCGAGCCACTGCTGGGGGCACAATGCGGCCCTCGGCGCCAAAGGCCTCACGGGCGACGCGGACCCAGGCATGCTCTAAGCGGGCTAGGGCGCCGCTGCAGGCAGCCGAGGGCTGGCCGCATTTGTTTCCCGGGTTTG